TCCTCTGTCAGGTGTATGTTTGCAAATATATTCTCCCAGTTAGTTGCCTGCCTTTTCTTAACAGCATCTACTGAAGAATGAGTTTTCAATTTTGATGAAGTACAACTTCTGATTCCTTTTATGTTCTATTTATTCTATTTTGCCAAAACTAAGGTCACTAGGATTTTCTCTTATGTTTTCTTCAAGAAGTTTTATAGCTTTATAGTTATTATATTTAAGTCTATGACCCATCTGTATATGAAATAAGGTAAGGATTGTGGTTTATTTTTTGCATATGGCTCTTCAATTGTTCCAGCACTATTTGTTACATTATTCTTTCTTTATTGAGTTGCCTCAGTATCTTTGCCAAAACATGACCATATATATGTGAATCTATTTGTGGATTCTCTCTTCAGTTCTACTGATCCATATGTCTATTTTTAAAGCAATATAATGATGTCTTTATTACTTTATAATAAGCTTTATAATAAGCCTTAAAATTAGGTAGTGTGTCATCCAAATTGCTCTTTGTAGTTTCTTAAGTCCATTGCATCTTAGAATGAGCTTTTTCTAAAAACTGAAAACGCTGCTGGGAATTGTACTGAATCTATAGATTTGGGAGAGAATTGACATTTTAACAAATTCTGAATCTTTGATCCACGAACACAAACTCTCCATTTACTTAAGTTTTATTTGAACTTCTGTCAGTAAAGATTTGCAGTTTCAGTGTACAGGTCTTGTAAATATATCCCTAAGTATTTCATATCTTTGATGCTATTTTACACAATATTGTTATTTCAATTTCTAAGTATGCATTACTAATACGTGGAGTCACAACTGATTTCTGTGTATTGAACTTATATAGTGCAATCTTGCTAAATTCACGGTATTTCCTGTAAACTGGCAGTTTTACCTGTATTTCCTGTAAACTGGTAATTTTAGAGCAGTGGTTCTGAAATGAGGGCCTTTTTTTGCTCCCCAGGGTATATCTCGCAATGTATGGAGACATTTTTGGTTGTCATAACTGGGGTTCGGGGAAGGGTGCACTACTGGCACCTATAAGTAGAAGCCAGGAATACTGTTAAACATTCTCCAATGCGCAGGACAGACCCCACAAAAAGAATTTTCTAGTCCAAAATGTTGATAGTGCTGAGGATGAGAAACTGTTCTAGAGGCTTAATCAAATTGAAATTTGATTTTTCACATTATTTCATAGGTGGTGTTGTGTCCTATCAGGATACATATAAATAGGTATCTGGCTATGATTTTGTGATCTTAGCAGCTAATGTGATCTACTGATTCATGAGCAGCTGCAAGGTGATAATATTCTAATATGACAATTCCTTATGCATTATTACAATACTTCTATAAAGAGAAACTTCCTGTCATCACTTACTTCTGATAAAGAGAAACTTTCCCTCATCATTTTTTGTTTATCCTAAATAACAGTTCACATAGGAAAGACAGCATAGATGCTAGATTCCTTCTCTATCATTCTTTCAAAATAATGAGCTGGCTTCCTAATATCCTCTAAAGGTGACCAATATTATTATTTTTAAAAGCATCATTATGAATTCATGGATTAAGACGTTTTGATGTGTTTCAATCTATTATCAGTTCACCTATGGTCAGTAAGAGAGGCTTCCTGTTAGCTCCTGAGTCGTTGTCTTTAATAACTTCTTTGCTTTCTGGTATGAAAATATAACTGAGGCTTAATCTGGACTGTAATTATTTCTCTGGACTGTAATCAGCCATTTCTCCAATGCCCCATTTTAGTGGAAAATAGTATTTAGAGACCAAAATCTGGGTCTTTTCAACAGAGGTAGGAATTTTTTTTTTTCTTTTAGGGAAAATACCATGAATTCATTATTTTTAATTCAAATTAAATATTTCAAAGCTTTTATTACTTCTTT